CTGGTCTCACATCTCACGGGGGTAGCCTGATCCGTCCCCGCCCATAATAGACACAGCCCTTTCAGGTACTGAGGATAGTGCCTCTGCTGCCAGCCAAGGAAGACCCACTATAAGCTAGAAACTTAGAAAGGAATAGCTGAACCTTAAGGACTCACAGTTAAATAGAACTGAACTTAATGACTTTGTAGTTGTTTTACAGCTGGCTCTGCTGCAGGTGGCGAAGGGGAGTGGCGGTGGGAACCAAGAGACTGCAGGGACAGAAATGTGGCTGGGGGCAAGGCTGAGGAGAGTCCCCAGCAGGCCTTCTGGGTCCATGGCCAAGATTGGCTTCTATTGAATCTGCCTAGAGATGGGGAGAGATTTTGAGCTGTGGCCCCATTGAGATGAAAAATTGGGATGTATTCTCTTGTCTTGGAGTTTAGGGGGCTGGGGGTGATCAAAAGACAAAGAGTCTGAACCTGGTTTTGAATGCAGGGGTTATTACTAGGCAGATAATCTTGGACAAATGACTTGGAGCCTCTCTGAGGCTCAGATGATTCATCCGTGAAATACAGTTTATGTGCCTGTGTCAAAGTTAGGTCAGTGTATGTGGAGCCCTTGGGCACAAAGTAGACATGAAACGGTCACTACTACTGTCCTTATTATCATTTCTTTAAAAAAATTTTAACATTTATTCATTTTTGAGGGACAGAGAGAGACGGAGAATGAGTGGGAGAGAGGCAGAGAGAGAAAGAGACACAGAATCCGAAGCAGGCTCCAGGCTCTGGGCTCCAAGCAGCCAGCACAGAGCCCAGCGCGGGGCTTGAACTCACGGACCATGAGATCATGACCTGAGCTGAAGTTGGGCACTTAACCGACAGAGCCATCCAGGCGCTTCTCCTTATTATCATTTTTATGATTGTCATTGTCAGTATGTGTTCATACAGCCATTACTGACTTCGGAGCACTTGCACATGTTCTCACTGAAGTGACAGCTGACTTCAGCTCCACTCGCCCCCAGATAGAAGGGTGTGTAACCTTCCTCTGTCATAGTGCTGGTAATACACTGTCACCACATTGTCATATCTGCCAACCCCAAGAGACCACAAGCACCTTAAACAGAGGAATCACCTCTCATGGATGCCCGGAGCCAGAGTAAACCAGAGGCTTCATTTCTGTGTATCGTGGATCCTTGTGAGGAAGCACTTTCCCATGACAAGAACTCCTCAGAGATAGAGCAAGTGGCTTCAAGACGTGAGCTCCCCCAACCCTTGAGGACATGTCAGGGGCCACTGAGCAGGGATGCTGTTGGAAAGTGACTGAACTGGCTGGGAGGCTGGCTTAGACAAGGTGGTTTTTAAGCCCTTGTCTTAACCTTTTAAGACAAGTTTCTATTTATGTTTTAATTGGATAAAGCACTTGTGATGTCCTCTCTGCTTCATTCCAAATGTATTCATGTTAATCTTGAGGCACCACTGAGCAAAGCCAGTCCAGCATGGCCGGCCTTGGGGACTTTGCCTCCACCTGCTTCCCCAGCTCTTGAAAAACATCAGGGCTTCCCTTAGCCCCACTAGATGAAAACTTTTGATGTAAAACATATTTTAAAGAATACTTTTATATGGAGGGCGCCTGGGTGGCTCAGTCAGTTGAGCGTCCAACTTTGACTCAGGTCATGATATCATGGTTCATGAGTTCGAGCCCCACGTCGGGCTCTGTGCTGACAGCTCGGAGCCTGGAGCCTGCTTCGGATTCTGTGTCTCCCTCTCTCTCTGTTCCTCCCCCGCTCGCTCTCTGTCTCTGTCTCTCTCTCTCTCTCTCTCAAAAATAAATAAACATTAAAAAAACAATTAAAAAATTTTATTAAAAAGATGAATACTTTTTTATGGAAGACAGTATTCCTTGAAAAAACATCAAATTGATCCTAAATGGTTTGGCAGCATATGATCCAGAATGTTCTGGATTTATATTTTCTCTTTCATGGAATAAAAACTGCAGTGCCACTACCTCAAAAGTTCTGCAAGTTCACATTATGTAAATATATGTAATAAAATATTTACTTAGGGTTTCCACAAAAAAGGTCCAAAGGAGAAAATAAGAGAGCTTCTCTTTGCTGGTCTTAGAAGCTCTGCTGGGAATTCTGAGTGAAATTTAAGCCTCTGAAATATGTTTTGATTGGCCTCCTTCATGTTTTATCTCCTGTAATGAACTCTTTGTCAGTTTGTCAATTTTGACTAAGGACAGAAAGTTCATGAGTAGTAACAACACACAGACCGAATTTAAAATTATGGCTTATATCATGATGTAATAATCCTCTCTTTTCCTTTAGTCAATATTTACCTGTTAGGCCAATATATTATAATTCTGACTTCAAAAGAAGACACTTTATTTTACCTTCCCCAAGTGTTGGTTTTAGATACTTGTAATATCAAAATTGGAAACTGAGCTGTCTGAGACTCTTGGCCACATTCTCTTAGGGTTGAGTTCCTCGATCATCACAGGGCAGGTGTCCCTGCTCCCAGTGACCCAACAGCACAGCTGTGTGGCTCTCAGAGTGAGGCCGCTGAACTCTGAGCCACACTGGTTTCTCTTTCCAGACAGCCCTCTCCTCTGTGGGAAGTAGGTCTATTATATTATCCCACAGCAGCCGGGATCTCTTAGACGGACTTAGGTTTTCCCTCATGTATTAATGCTACAGGCATGGGCAGAAAGACCCAACAAACGCCCTGTAGGAGGGTGGTCCCTGAGTGCGAGGCAGATGAGGAATGGGGAACCTTAAATTCTGTTCTTCCCCTGAACTCCTTATTTCAACCACCCCATGCTTGAACGATTTTCCATTTTAAAAAACTACAGGAAGAATGGTCTCCTCCAGCGAGGAAGGAATAAGAGGATAATAAATAGCTCCAGAATGTGCAGATAAAATGTGTGATACTTTCGGACTGATCGTCTAGGCAACCAGAGGAGCAGGTAGTGATGTGTTCGGAAGCTCTTCTGAGTCAACTTGGGTATCAGTCAGGACTCTTCCTGTGAGTCATAACTGAAAGGGAACTGATTGATTCACGAACTGCCAAGTCCATAAGTAGGCTAGTTTCAAGTTCAGCTGGATCCTGGAGTTCAAATGAGGTCATAATGATTCTCCCTTTTTTTTCCTAGACCTATTATTTTCTATATTGGCATGATTGTGTGGCAAAGATGTTTCCTTGGCAGCTCCAGACTTACAATGTTCCTTGGTGTCGGGGGTCCCAGAGAGAGATCCTTTCTCCTGAAGTTACTATGAACAAGGATAGGACATAGTAGAATGACATCATGCATATATTTAAATTTAATCAAATTAGGGGCTCCTGGGTGGCTCAGTCAGTTGAGCGTCCAAACTCTTGATTTCAGCTCAGGTAAGGTTCTCATGGTTCACGAGACGGAGCCCCACGTCGGGCTCCGCGCTGAACGTGTAGCCTGTTTAAGAGTCTCTCTCTCCCTTTGCCCCTCCCCCCATCTCGCCTTCCCTCTCTCTCTCTCATTAATTAATGCAAATTCATCTTTGTGTTGATATCATCAGTGTGCCTCTGTCTGCCCATGATGCGCTCGTCATAGTACACGCTTACTTTACATGTGTACGCTTCTTTTGTATTCTGTCCATGCTGCCCATTTTCATATGCATACGTGTGTGTGTGTGTGTGTGTGTGTGTGTGTAATCACACATGCTACATGTGAGAGATGCTTTACGGGGTGTTCAAGAGTAAACCTTAAATTTACAACCTAACCATTCCCTCAACCCCACTTTAGCTGTAATCCCACCAGCCTATGCCATCTGACCATCTCTCTGGCAGAACTGTTAGGGAAGGCAGGGCCTGCTGAAAACCAGCTCTACCAGGAAGGGAAAGGGCAATTCTGAAAGGGGAAGAAAGTAGGTCTTTCACCAGAAGGGAAAAGACTACAGGCAAATAAGTCAGTTATTGATTCGTTCACTCAACAAGTATTTATTGAATGCCTATGGTTTGTCAGGCATCCTTCTAGGTATTGCCCCTACGCCAGTGAACTTTACACAGAAGGTTCTGCCTTGCTGGAGCTTACGCTATAGGGAGAGAGGAAGGCAGTAAATATGTAAGCCAATAAAGATGCGCTGTGGTATCTGGCAAGATGAGTGCCCTGAAGGAAAGAGCATGGTCATCATCTTCATCTATGGATCAGGTGCTTTGACAGGTAGAAGAAACAGGTAGAAGAAACAGAGGGCAGAGAATCTCTTCTTGTTCTGGGATTCTCTTTCAGTTGATCCTTAGAAGGTAAGAAGGGTTTTGATAGGCAGATCCTGTTGAGATGATCCCAAACATAAGAAAAAACATGAGCCAAGCAGACGTCTCAGTGGGATGAGGTAGGGTATATTCTGGGAATGGAAAGAGGTTTCCCAGGACAGCCGCATAATAGAGATGTGGAGGGGGACGCTGGAAGGCCTGGCATGGCAGGTTGGGGTGAGACTAAGTGAAGACATGGCTTACAGGCTGAAGAGTGGCATCACCAGGTCCATGGCCGAGAAGATTCTAGGCAGCGGTGTGCAGGGCTAGGTGAGAAGAGGCAGTATCGAGGCAGGAAGGCCAGGTGTAGATCTCCACATAAAGGCTGTGGTCAGAATGAGCAGGAAGAGCAGAGAAGTCAGAGGCAGAGTCTCCAGAGTTCGGGGATTCTCTCACTTCCAGTCGCCTGAAAGGGTTTGTTCACCGTCCAAAATGAGTCTTCTTTTGCAAGTCTGCTGACGTTTACAAAGACAAGAGGCCTTTAAAAATGGGAAGCATCTCGTGAAGATGGTTAATGTTGCTTCCTGGGGATAAAAATCTCACCATCTCACTAAACAGTGAGGAAAGTAACCATGCAAAGCACAGGGGGCAGTGGATTGCCCAGCAGGACTGGAAACGGGGGCCTGCACCTCAAGTCGCGTGGCCTCAGAGAATGCCATGCATTCTTGGGAAGGATTCCTGGGAGGGATGGCTGTCGCCTTCCATACCACACTGATCAGCCTTCTTCTGCATTTACAGGCAACTTCGAGGTGGGGGTTCACATTGCTGACGTCAGTTACTTTGTTCCTGAGGGATCCCCTCTGGATAAAGTAGCTGCTGAGAGAGCCACGAGTGTCTACTTGGTTCAGAAGGTAAGCACCGGTCTCCAGTTTCTTGGATTAAAAAAACGTTCTATTTAGTCTGCGTCCTTTGTTTGTTTCTCTTTTCTTAAAAAAAAAAAAATGAGGAACAGCAACCTTGTCTGAACATCTTTTCTCACATCCAGTGAGGTCTTAAGAAAAGGTTTTCTTTGGAAAAGTGCTTCCCCTCTGTGGTTGCAGGTTTTCATTCTATATTCAAAAAGAACCAAACTGAAGAGATACCAGGGCAGGACATGGGGGCGCATCTGAAGTTTCAGAGCAGCCCTGCCTCCCAAGTGACTCAGACAGGTGCCCGTGTTCGGAAAGAAATGAGGAAAAGGAACTGCCTTCAAACTCTTGTTCCAGAGTGGGGCTGTGCACACTCAGCCCATATGAGCCACAGTTTTTATGAAATTTTTTTTTTTTTCTAACCCAGCCACATGCGTTCATTTCGGTAATGTCTACGGCATTGTCACACTAGAGCAGGAGAAAGGAATGAAAACGCCTTTTGAGAAAGTTTCATCCCCTGACCTGCCCTTGACAAGATAATCTGGAGTCTCAGAGATGGAAAAGCATTTCATCGAAGAAGATATACGGATGACAAATAAGCATATGAGAAGATGCTCCTCATCATATGTTATTAGGGAAACGTAAATTAAAATAACAGTGTGATACCACCAAAAAACAAACAAACAAAAACCCAGGAACTATTCAGTACCCATCAACTCTAGAGCGAACAAGTAAATTTTGGTATAGTCGCACGGTAGGACTCTAGATTGACAACCACAGAGAAGCCTGGTGAACGAAACCAGGCACAAGAGTATGCAGCATGTGAGTCCATGTGTATAAAGTTCAAAGACGGGCAGAGTGAACACAAGTCAGAATAGTGGTTACGCTTGAGAAAAGAGGGCCCGAGTAGCGGGGGGACAGCTAATGATTCCTGATCTGGGTGCTGATTACGTGAGCTTTCAGTTCGTGAAAATGCACACTTATGTTTTCTGACTTGTGCACTTGTGCGTATGTGTGTGTGTATCATACCTAAATAAAAGTGTTTTCATTTTGAAGCTTTTGTGGGGATGACTTTCTCTCCACTCTGGCTCCTTCTATAGGTATCCGGCCTACTCAAACAAAGGAACAACATCAAAAGCCAGGTCCCTCGCTCACAGCTTGGCCCTCCTGAGAACACAGCTCTGATATTTGTACATTGTTTACACTTAATGTAACCTCAGGTTGGAGACATCCCATCCATACCTCCCACCTAAAAGTGCAGTTGGCCAAATCCGGCCCAAGGCCTCTTAGGGAAAGGGAGATAAGACTCCAGAACCCCTTGTATCTACAAACTATAATGTTATGATGGGAAGAGAAACAGAAGTAGCAATCGCTTAGACTTTGAAGACCACATAAAGTGAATGATGTGAATTGTTCTCTCCACGTAGACAAGTTTAACTCTGTTCTTCAGATTCACATATTTAGGAATTCTAGCCACAGTTAGAAGTTCTTTGTCCAAGCAGGTGGCTTTCTCTTATCTAGCTGTTGCATTCTCCTTTTATAACCAGGAATTATGTTTCCAAAACCAAAAATGGAAAAATAAAATTGGGTTAAATAACTAAGCACATTTCCTTTCCTATTCTCTTTACTTTGGTTTTGTGATTGTCACAGTTCTAGAATTTGTCTTTGGGACTGCAGTGTTGGGGCTCTGCTGTTGAGCTCTCAAAGCGGGGAGCTGAGTGGAGGAAGGGCCGGTGTGCCCCTGAGCAGCCCCCAGCTTGGGGGGAGCGAGCGCGGCGGCGCCTGCCCACAACCTTGGACAGCAGCTGTGCATTCTGATTCCTTTGAACCACGACTCTGACCTTTCTTCCTACTCATTTTTGTTTCTTGAAGGACTGTGTCCAGGAACTTTTCTACTGTTTTCACTTTACTTTGCCTATAAAGGTCTTCTTAAAAGCTGGATGAGCTGCTCTCCTCTTCCTCCAGATTCTCTGCTTTCTCATTTGGCAGAATTTCTCCCAACTTCATCAGATGGGGGAAGGAGGGTGTACGTTGGGGGAGGGGGCCGGGCGATTTCCCATCTATAGGGAATGTGGCACTGATTTCTTTTCATGCAGGGCTACTGGCTTATGAGTAACTGACATCAGAATTACAGGTCAAGCTTGATTTGGGGAATTATTCCATAGATTAGGAATATACAGTAAGACAGATATTGGGTCCAAATACCATTTTACTGTCTTTAAAATGAAATCCTTTTTGTTGGGATTTTATTCACAGTGTTAAGTATTTGGTTACTCTCATTACCAATAGGGCATACTCAGGAGAACAGATCAATTGGAATACTGTCCATTTAAGTCCCATGAAAAGACACACTCTTTCTTTTTGACAAAAATCAGGTATCTGCCCATTAGGGGACCAACCATCTAACTTTAGGCCTGTCCTCCTCAGAAGGACGTGACATCTACCCAGTAAATGTCTCCTGGCTGTCTTCCCTGAGCGGGAATTACAATGAAATTGTAAAATGTAAGGTGATTTTTAAAAATAAGTGAATTAAGTTTTAAAAGTAAAAGAAACCCTAAACAGTTGAAATCTAAACCTGAATTGTCTGCCCGTTGGCCGGAGCAGTCGTGTTATTTTAGGTGTGAAACAGCTCAAATGAAAGCTTGCCCATAAATCTCTACGCTATTTTATTGGTGCTGCTTTATAATAGAGATCAAAGATTGGGACTGGAAGCCTGTCTTAACGTGTAGTCCAAAGAGTTTTAAGATGTTCCTCTCTGACCCCAGCAGGTTGTCAGAGTGTTGATGTTTTGTTAATGTCAAACTGTGCAGCAGAGTTGATCAGATTCGGAGTTCGTGGAAGTGTTGATATGAAAAAGGAAACTCTTTCAACAGAGATGTTGGCTGGCAGATATCAATTCCCTTTAGGTTGTTGGAGTGTGTGAGTGGGGGCCCAGCTGTACCTTCCTGCTAAAACCTTGAAGTTCTCAGAGAAGAGGAGAAAAACTCCCTAAGTTCCCAGGCTCCGGCAGCCAATGGGCTCTCGAGGGTGTGAGGGAGTTTGGGAGCCAGCGGAGACCCGGGCTGGAAGGGGCAGGAGACCCCCCACCCCCACCCCCGCTTGCCCCTTCCCGGCTGGGTTGCTGACATCTGGCTCCCTTGAGCTTCAGTAGCCCCCCTGCTGCTGCTAGTCCCTCCTGTTCCTCTTTGCATGGATGATTGATTCTTCCCCTCTGTGGCCCTTTCCGTTGGTCACAGGGCTGTCCTGGCTAACCCGTTGCTGAACTTGGCCAGCCTGCCCGCTGTGGCTTTAGCAGATGTTTCTGCTCTCTGAGGCTAATATAAGATTTTATAGTCTGGATGGTACCCCCACCCAGCTGCCTTGGGCAATGGCGTATTTACCCAAATGATCAGTTTCTCTCAAGTCTCCCAAACCCTAGTCCAGAATGCTTAGAAAGTCAGTGTCCTGTCACCATGTCCCTTTTTTTCCATGACAGCTTTTAAACTCTGCCCTGATTCAACGTTAATGCTGGCCCGAAGCATGCTTACGGAGACTTAGAACCCTTTAAGTCCCTTTCCTTCTCCAATGCCTGAAGGGCTGTCGATCTTCATCCAGTTCGTATTTGTTGAGGCCCGGCTGTGTGCCAGGTGGCAGGTGTGTAAAGATGAGGGAGATGCTGGTCCTGCCCTGGGGAAGTCAGAGGAGGTGGGCACGTAACGAGCACTTACAGTACACCGGGCCCCCTGCAGTTACGGAAGTAGTCTGGGAGGTGGGGAGCACTAGGGAGGACAGAGAAGTCGTACCTGCCCGGGCTGGTGGTAGGAGAGGAGCTTCCAAAAGAGCCAAGACGCCTCACGACAAAATTGAGTTTTGAGCAGCGTTTCAAATTTTAAGTCAAAAATCTCTACGTGGGTAGAGAGGGCATTCCAGGCAGTGGCTCAACGAGGAACAAAGCAGTTTGGAATTTCTGGAGTAGAAGTTGCAGGAGCCAAAAGCTGAAGTTACAAAGAGAGGCCTGGAGTGGCAAGCTGAGGAGTGTGGACTTCATCTTGAGGGCAAGTAGGGAAGGGACATGGTCTCCTTTGTTTCAGGTAGAAAGTCACCTTGGCAACCATGTGGTTGAAGAATAGTGAGGCCAGAGGGAGGAAAATTGTTATCAGGACCAGAGCCCTTTCCCTCAGCTGTGGCCCCTTGAGGCTTTGAGTAACCACCCCAAAGTAGGTGGGGGGTTTTGCTCATAGAATTTTAGGAGAGTTTACCAACATGCTGGTGTCCAGCTGGACTCCAGGAGAACTAGAGAAATAGGTGTCTTCGGCCTGGTGCTAAAATGGACATCCTGAGCAAGGAGCCCCTGGCTGCTTCCCCTCCCATCCAAGAATCCGTATCACACAGCAAGGGGCGGGACTGGGTACCCGGGAAGTTGGCTTCCCCATGATGTCTCTGATTTCTCCTCGGAGATAGAGGCCCTCTCCCAGCTTCTCATTGAGAGCTTTTGGCCACCGTTGACCCTTGGCCACTGAACACAGAGACGGAGGGTTCAGGCTTTACTGGACACGTCTCTGCTCCGTTGCAGGTGTTTGGACCCTCCCTCGTTAGCAGGACAAGCAAAAATATCAAACTGTCAAATTCAATCCATCAGCTATTGGAAAGGTAAAGGCCATGTGTCCTACTGTAAATGGGTTTGCAGATTATCATTGGGTAGAGTAGAGTAAGGAGATGCAGAAGTATGGAGAATAATAAGGAAACCTTACCCAGAATAATTTCCACTCTAGAACTCTGCTGCCAGTTTAGAAGACTATTCAAATATAATCCAAGAGAGATGAACGTGGCCACACTTGAACAGTGGAAGACGGAGAGGAGAGAAGACTCATTTGAGAGAGATTTAGATGTACAAACCTACAGATTCTGGGAACTGATTGGTTGTAGCAGGCAGAGGAGAGTGGAGAAATCACAAGATAACACCCAGTGGTGTTCTGTGGGAGGAGTGTGTGCGCGCGCGCGCGCGCGCGCGTGTGTGTGTGTGT